GCGGCGGCGGCGGCAGCCGCCGACTGCTGCGAAACATCAGCGACATCTTCGCCAACGTGATTGATCGCATGATGGGCGGGCCCGGCGGCGTCAGCGGCAACGGCAGGGACGCGGCAGGTGGCGGGAGCCTCAAAGTGCGAATGCATGAGATTGCACCGCAAGCGGGGGGGCCTCACGCAGGACGGGGAGGTCAAGCCTGCGATTCAGTGACGGCCGCGGCAGCCGGCAGCACCGTATCACGTCGCGGTACGACAAATCAGCGGGGGGACGCTCCGGATGATGGGGCAGGCGTCGGCAACCAGTACGACAACGGCGGCTACGGTAACCGTGGGGATGGCGGCGCAGGCATGTACGACGCTGATGGCAGTGGTCAACTCGTGATGAGGTTGGATGGAGAAGCTGCAGTTGGGACCTCACTCCCACGGGCGGCGGCGGCAGCGGCGTCATCGACTGCTGTACGGCGCTTGCGCAGATCAGAGGGATCGAACTTGCCTGCAAGATGGCTGACCGCCGTACAAAGCATCAAGCGGTCCGACGGCGACGGCGCCGATGGCGGCGACAAAGACCGCACTAGCAGCAGCAGTACGGCCACCGTCCGCGCTTTCCTGCCGGACGGCGCCGTTGATGATCCATTCGCCATTCCTTCATTTGTACTGCACCGCAGCCGCTCCCGAACCGCAGCGAGGCCCAGCTCAGGCTTCTCCGGCGGTGGCGGCGGCGGCTCCTGTAGCGGTGGCGGCGAATCTGTACGGCGGCACGTTGGCAAGTTTGGTCACGACACGTCCGACTCCGGCATGGCGCCGGCGCCTTCTCGCCCTTATCACCTCCTTGACATCGCCAACGTTGCGTCGTCTTACTCGTACGACGGCGGAGGCGGAAGTACGGGCTGTGACCGCTGTAACGGCCCTTGGCCATCCGCTTTTACCTCGCAGGCATTACCTTCTTCTTCTGGCCGCATAGACTTGCGAGCTCAGCTAGAGATGGCGATTATGCTTCTAGGGACAGTCTTTGGACTGGATTTGGATTTGGAATCCAAAGGAAAGATCCATTGCGGCGGATCTACGCCAGCGGCGACCGCGACTACAGCTGCGCACTCGGATCTGCCGGCGCAGTATCCCCATGGCTCTCACGGCGCCGCATCCTGCGGCGGCGCCGGCAGTAGCGCCAATGGTGCTGCTGCCGCCCCAGCCACCGAAGGTGATGGCAGCGGCGCAGCGGGTATGGCGGAGGCGCTGCTGTCGCAGCCCGCCAGTCGGCGAGTATTGTTATCGCTGGCGGATGCAGTGGTACGGCGGGAGGGCGCCGCGGCAGTACCTGCCGTACAGGAGCTCCTGCAACGTCACGGCAGCACAGTCCGCGCGGCGGCGGCGGAGCAGATCGGGCGGGTGTTGAGCTGTGTGGCGGAGGGCGTTGAGGCGGTGGAGCAGTCGGTAAGTGCGGAAGTTAAGGCGAGCGGGTGGAAGTCAGTGAGTTCTGGGATGGGGTGGAAGTGAATAGTCAATGCTCTCAACTGACCCATGGGTCGGCGAGCAGCCACAGACGGCCTATTGACAAGCGCGACGAACGAACTCCATTGCGTTTGTCAGTCTCACGGCCGACCTCGGGTCGGTCTGCGGTTCCAACTGACCATGGGTCGGAGAGGGTCCCGTGGGTCTGTCAGCGGTTCGCTGGACCTGTAGGCCACTAAGGGTTTGACCAGACGCACGGGGCTGGGTCACTTGTTCGTCGCAGGTTAGTTTACCTCGTGGGTCGTTAAGCAGACAGGCAGACCCGTGGGTCACCTGCCTAACTGCCTAACTGCCCATATTCGCCTTGACTTTGCACGTTCGGCCCTACACTTCCCTTTCCCATGCCGTTGCATTGCATTGCATTGCTCGGCAGGTCTCTAGCCTCAGCGACTCGCTCGTCGCCGCCAGCCGCCGCCTCGCCTCCATCGAGCGTCGGGCGCTCGACGCCGCGAGCGAGGGCGTACTCGCAGTTGGGCTGTTGCGACACATCTCCCGTGATGTGTCGTGCAGACTGGAGCCTGACAGCAGCGACGACGACAGCCTCTACGGCGTCGGCGTTGGCGGCGGCGGTATGTTGCACAGCGGCGGCGGTAGCGGCGGCAGTGGCGGCGGCGGCGCCGGTGTTGGCGGTGTATCGGACGAGGTCGATCTGTTGACGGCGGCACTGCAGCGCATGCCCATGGAACGAAGCCCTTTCAGCAAAAGCAGTAGCTTAGGGCTGAAAGACGAGGAACCAGAAGGCACGTTATTGGCGTCACCCTTCGCATTCGCCTCTAGGGCGCCGGCGGACGGCGCCCGTCGGCCGTCAAAGCACGGAATCATGCGGCTGATATCCCGTAACAATACAGCCGGTGACGCCGCCGCTACTGCTGCAGACGCGCAGGCACAGGCACCCGCACCGTCATTGTCGCCGGCGACGTCGGCAACGTCGCCGTCGGTGGCGGCGGCAGCGGCAGCGGCGGCGGCGGCACCTGTACGAGCACTCAGCGGCTGCGGCCGCGATCCCGGCATACTCTCACCGTTGGCCTCGGCCGCGGCTCCGGCCGCGGGCTACAGCAATGCTGCTCGAAGGAGGTCGCTGGACGCCGCCGGCTTCAGCTGGCTTCAACAGGAACGTCGTGAGAGCACGCAACTAGCAGCGTCAGGGCGCAGCGGCAGCGGCGCCATCTCTGCTGACACCGGCGCCGATGGCGCTGTACCTGATGCACCAGCACTGCCGCCGCCAGCCTCTACGGCAGCGGCGGCGGCGGCGGCGACGACGACGACGGCGGCAACTGGCTACTCTGCCCGGGAACGGGAACGCCGCCGGTCGCTCCGAAACTCCCAGGTCGGCCCAAGTGGCGGCGGCGCCGCGGAAACACCCGGGGTTCATGGCGGCGGCGCCGCTACCACCACCGAAACGAATGTGAACAACCCCAGCAGCGCTAATGGCAACACGGCCTTCAACGTCCCAACCGGTGTACCGCCCACACGAATAAGCCATTCCCAGAGCCCGGTTCTGGGCCAGGGCCAGATCCGGGGGAACCGCTTCCGGAGGGCCTCACTCGTGCTATTTCAAGCAGGTACGACAAGCGGTTCGCAGGAGCAGGTTGTAAACACATTTAACATAACAGCTTTTTCCTTCCCCACTCAGTAACCGCTTCTTTTCATCACTGTTACATACCCAAAGCATTGCCGGGCCGCAGCTTGCGGATCCCGGACGCCTGTGCAAGCGCAACCCGTAATGGGTGGATATCTCGGTATTTCATTTTTTTTCTAGCAGTAGTGTAGCGAAGGGAAATCTAGGCGGCAAAATGGATTCGGCGTATTTAATCACTGAGTTCATCTCTGCATGTGTGTGCTGGCAAAGCCAGAGGCCGTATTAGTGAGGCCCGGCGGTGGATTTTGCTTTGTTTGTGTGTGGCCAAATGAAAAGAAAGCATTACGGACGATGCTCGTATATGGGAGCTGTGGGTACGGCATTCCGTACGCCGAGTAGAAGAACTAAAGGGGACGATAACCTTTGGTAAATTTTAAAGTCTGCCACACACGACAATGGCCCTTTCCTTCCCCTGTTTGCTTGTTCTTCTTCTTCTTCTTCTTCTGCCGTACCAGGACTACTGACGGAAGCTGCCGCCGGCGGCAGTACGCTCGGTACCGCCGCCGGGGCGGCTGACGTCAGCTGTTCGTCATCGATTTCGCCGCAACAACCCGCATCCAGCCTCGCCGCCGCATGGCAGCGGCGTTCGTCCCATATTGCCGTACTGGACGACAGGGTCGTGCAGGATGGCGCAGTAACCGCCACCACTTCCAGTGCCGCCGCCGCCGCCGCCGCCGGCGGTGGCGGTGGCGGCGGCGGGGGAGGCCGCTACTTGATATCGCCATCTTCCGCTGGGTTGGCGCCTTCGGAACGACCTGGCGCGCGCCGAATGACCACCGCACGGCGACTCTCCGCCTCACAAGTCGCCCAGAGCTATCCGTACTTCCTCATCTCCGAACTGTCCAAGTCAGCCGCGATGCCGTCTGCCCTGGAACGAAGTCTCAGCAACGGTGCAGCTCTTATAAGTCCCAGCGGACGACCCAATTCTTCGGGGACGCAACAAGCTGATAGCCGTTTATGTATGATGGCCGGGTACGGCGGCGGCGACACGTCAGTTCATGGCGCCCCAAGTCGCCGCGGCAGCGGCTATTCTGGCGGCGGCGACACGTCGGTCCACGGACCTGGAAGTTGCCGAGGCAGCGGCATGTACGGCTTCGGCGGCGGCGGCGACACCTCAGCTCATGGACCGGCGATCAGTCGGCAGGGCAGCCGCTACCCCAGCCATCCAGACAGCCGCCGTGCCGGCGGAGGTGACGATAGCCGGGCCGCCAGCCGCCGCGGGAGCCAGTCGTCGCCTGCTTGGGCGGAGGACACCTGCGACTCGGGCGCGGAGTCGTGCGGCGGCGGCGGCGACGACGCTGCTGAGCCGCGTAAACGCGACCGCTCGCAGCCGCCGGGCAGAGGGTGACGTGGCGGCGTGGTGTGGCCGAAAGCACGGTCACACCGGGGATTATTTTTCCGCATAACCTTACGGTAACGTTACTTTCCCACGCTAAAAAAAAGAGTTCGATCCGTTGTAGTCAGCAGTGCGCTTGAGAAACAAGCCAAACAAGCTGCCCAGCTTGATAATAATAATAATAATAATAATAATAATAATGATGATGATGATAATAACAATAAGATAAGACATGTACGGTATTTCAGATGTTTTTTTGTAGCTGTCTGTAACCCCTGTTTAGAACGTCCACATTGCCTTGCCTATTTTTGGGAGGGCGTGCTCTAAATATATAGTATCAATTTGAACGGACCCTTCTGATGTCGTACATGCGCTGCTTGAGGACTACCGCGAAGCATGTGTCCGGATGCCATTGATATCATCATGGCCATTATGTACTTTTGTATGTATGTACTTTTGTATGTATGTATGTATGTATGTATGTATGTATGTATGTATGTGCTTTAGACGATGTCAGCAGACGAGAATATTACGATACTGTGCGTATGGCGCTTGCTGGGCCATGTCGTACAACATCAGCCTCTTGCTCCTGCTGCTGCTGCTGCTGCTGCTGCTGTTGTTGTGTCTACGATACTCTCCCGCGTCATCCTTTTTCTCATGCAGCGCTATACGCATGAGCTACGAAACTTTGAATGGTATGGGAACCTCGCAAACATGCCGTTTTTGCACCCACCATCATAATCCAACGTTATAAAACCCAACCCCTGTGAAGATAGAGAGAACAGAAGGTGGCAAGCTTGTGCAGGATGGCGGTAAACATCAGAACATGATGACCTGGAACATGCACGGCTTGTGATCCACACGGTATTTTTTGGAGAGTTTCAGTGTGCGCGAGACGTCTTGTGCGGCTGTAACGTAGTAGCTGGCCTCTTAAAAGGCCTCTTAAGATGCTGGCGGCGTAGTCCAATGCTTCATCTTGTGACATGGCGTCTGTATGTGCGCCCCTGATTGTGTCTTTGAGCGAAGGGAATCTTGCTTACGAGATGACTCAGTCGCACGAAGGGACGAAATGAAAGATAAACGACCGCTCAGATGCAAGGGATGTACGTCCGTGTGCGTGCGTATATGTCCTTCCCTAGCTTGTGCGTGTTTTCACGGAAGCCCGGTGGCCCGAAGGAGAACCGAGTGGTTCAAGTATTACTTTGTTGTAAAGCGAGAAATTAATTACCGAGCGTATGACATTCCGCACGTTTACTTGGAGGTTTTGATTCTTGAACAGCAAGGCTGGGATTAAAGGGCGGGAGGCGTTCAAGATCGTTAAGTTGTTGCGAGAAATGTAATAAGAATAATATATGGGATGATAAGGGTTAATAATAGAATATTTTTAATAATGTAAACATGATATGGAATATATGATCAGGAATGTTAAATATTGGCCTATGCTTGATGCGGCTTTTGCTTACGTTGTCGCTGTTTCATGCGGATGTGCTGAGAGGTTTTTTTGCTGTTGCGGTGGATTAAGTGCAGTTGAGTGGCACAAGGGAAGATAGAGGCCAGATACCGCATTTGTTGTACATCGTGTGTAGTACGGTATCGTACACGCCGGCTTTTGCCGGTTTGTCCGGGGCGTCATCGAATTTGGGACTTGGCAACCCTCTGGCTGTTTTTGACAGGGTTGAACTTAGGATTTTCAAGTTTTTTTCCTTAACTGTCACTCGGTGAGGATTCAAGGTTTCCGTTGCCGGTTAGTTGGTTACCCTCCATCCGGAGTTGGAAAAGTTAACGTCCACACAGCACTCACGGTATGCAGATGGTTCATGACTGTCGCGCACAGAACGTACTCGCAGCGTCTGCTCTTGCTGTTGAATTTCATAACAACGCCTAGCCCTGGTGTTGAATTTACACTTGGTGTAATCGCTGGGTTACGTTAGCCGGGGGTTGGTAAAAAAACTAAATCTGGGGATGCAGAACCTGCAGTGCAATTGCCCGGTGGACTACACGCCAAGGACAGGTGTTGTATCCTGTAGGGCGTACCATCACGGGAGCTGCATCCACCGAACGGTGTGCTTTTCTTATCACTTGTAGTCGTGATATGACAAATAGGTATCGAGCACGGATCCCAGTTCTGACCTTGGTGGATTTGAATCCCATTTGAAGCGGGTTTTACTGAGCGGGAGGTGACAACGGCCCCGCGGCGCTGGTTATCCTGCGGGTGCAGGCAGCGCACAGCGACCCTGAGTTGGCTGAAGTTGAGGTCGCCCTCCACTGCGAGAGGGGGGATAAATGTAGTTTTCTGGGCATATCACGGGATCTGCATCCGCCGATTCCGGTACCTTTCTGTAGCAGTTGTAGTCGTGATATAACAGCTGACGTCAGCCTGGTGCCCGTGTCTTCAGCGCCGCATGGCTCATAGGGCCCATGCGTCGCACCCTCCGGGTCTGGGACCTTACCTTACCTTATCTGAGGAGTCAATCAATGCTTTGTGACTATCCTAGGGTCTTCCTCGACGGGGAGCGACCTGGGAGACCTGCGCACCTGGGCGACCATTGCTGAGAACGACTGCTGTTGTTTGTCCAGGCAGATCTTACGCGGATGGCATCTTGGGGGCTCTATTGACGAATCTTGGCCATACCGGCTATTTCGATTGGTATTAGCAATACACACAGTTGTGGATAAATACAGGCGTGGGTAGGCTGTCACGACATTTTAGCGTCACGTTCATTTTACCGTCTTTTATAATCGTCTTAGGTTATAATCGGTGTGAATACGCGAATTTCGTGTATTATCGCGTAAGGTGTTTGGTTCTTATCTTACACTTCGCTGATGGACTTATGGACGAGACGAGAATGTACGCTCGTTCGCGTATGTTTATGTACTTTACTTGTTAATTGTTCATTTCTTGTGTGAATGTTCTGTCACACGGGTTATAAGGTGTTTCACTTGTGTCATTTGTGGACTATACGTCATGGTCGTACTCGAGGCTTATCTTTTGAGGGCCTCCTGTGATCGACAGTGTGACTTCGGTATTTATAGCCGGCAGCGAGCTTGGAAAAGTCGCTTTACGGCTCATGATTGGAACATGTAAAGTTCTCTGAGCTAGACAACAAGCCCTGTGCGGACCTCCCTTTTCGTAAGCCGCATAAGTAACTTCCTTCCACCAGCCGAACTCCTGTGTGGGCCACTCAACGCCCATATCCTTCACGCCGGGCATACTCAGTCGGTAAGGTAAATCTTTATCACTGTTGATTTGTTGCCTGGAGGGAATCTTGGCCCCTTTCGCGGGTTGCTATTTGCTGCGTATTACGACTTGCCCGTTCGTGTGCCGTCTAGTCAGCATTCAAGCTACCTGCAGGACTTCGCCTAGACCACCCTGCATTCCATGGCGGTGGTGGCATAGTGTATAGGCGGTGTAACGAAGAAAGATACGTAATCGCTAGCCCGGCCGCGGCGTAACATGGTGCAGACGATTGGTGTTGCGGTGCGTGTTCACAGAGGTGAAGATAGATCGTGAGACTGGTTGGGTGTCGTTCCAGTAGATCCGGAAGAGAAACCCTTATTGGAGAAAACTGCAGACGCCTGTAATGCTACAAAAAAGGCAACAAGATGGCACTTCCTTACCACTTACAAATTCCGCTCAAGTGCGGGGCCGTACATAAAAGCCGGGGGTGGCATTGACTTCGTTGCTGCAGTAACCGGCAGCGACAAGAGGCTGCGTGCTTTACGGTAGCTGCTCTGCATGCAAGCAGGGACACTAAGGGAGGTGCTCGCTGCAGAATTCGGCTTCGGGGACAGGGTGAACTCATAATTAGCTGTATAACGTGGGTTTATGCAGGGTTTGCATGGTTCGCTCAACATGCGTAGGAGCTGTCAGCTGTCACTGGCATGTATAGGCGTGGAAATCTGTGAAATTTGCTTCTTCATCAGGAAGGGCAAGGCAACGATCGCGCGTGGCACGATGGCTGCCGCAACGGTTAGGGAATTGGTACATCGGTAAGCCTATTGCGGCGAGCCGTGAGCCTCTTACCTAGGAGCCTCTTGGCTCGTTTGGGCCGTACAACCTCAAGAAGCTTGTAGTAAAAGACGTCAAGGAAACTCATCGCGGCGGCAATGCCTGCCCCCTTACACAGTACAAGGCAGGTTACGTAGTGTAGACGTGCCACATGCATTGCGATGACCGGACATCGTAGGGATTTCACATATGTTGACAGGGGTAACGATCAAAGTAAGACAGTGCAATTATTTTGTGGGCCACCTCTAATTCGTAAGGTTTTGTTTCTATCGATTTGTCCCCTCAGCTGGAAGATCAGCATTGCCAATAATCCGCACTTCGGAGAAATGAGAATGTCTGCACGACTAAGATCGTACCCATTGTGAACCCATCGGATCAATGCATGGCTATTCCTTCTATACAGTAGCATGTTCTGGTCTTGCAAGGGATCACACACACCTCATGCAAACCGGGTTTGTACGGGACCGGCTGTCGCCAAATTCGGCCCAGACGAATAACGCAACACAGATGCTTTTACTTAACTTTTACATTCTTGCATGTTAATTGGTATCGTGATGTTGTAGCTGTGTGCTGAGGCTTTGACCTTAGGGTCAAACTTTCGTCGTGGTCGCGGCTTCATGCCACTCCTCCAATCCTTGCCATACTGAAGGGTTGCAACCCTAAAAAAATGCAGCGTTCAGAAAGCAATCTTGATCTGCAGTTCCAGCAGGTAACTTGGCCCGTTGCTTCCCCCGAGTTACAGAGACGCCGCAATGCACCCACAGCTTATTTGCCGACAAATTTATGCCTCCGTTTTGTCCAACAGACAGCAGCGCAGCTTACCATCTTAGCGCTTTCACAACCTCGGGTGGCGAAACTTCGTGTCCAAGCTTGGTTGGCAAAGCTTCGGGAGCCGGTGAGCTGCGGCATACTGGCTATGTGCTATGGCTATACATACTTTTTGGTGATGGGCTCTATAGGCATTTATGTGCACTGACCCCGTCACACAATGTTAAACCTAATTCCACGTACGTACACGCCCTCTGACACTTGCCCACAGACCAACAATGCCGTCTGGAAGCGGAATCGGAACATGTACTGTGCTCTCTTGCTGGCTCAACTGCAGCAAGGACAGCTGGAGCTGCCTTTCACTACCATGCCGCCCGATGGCGCGCTGCCAAACCTACCGAACCACCTGCTATACAGGTAAAGCGAAAGATCTTCACGAGGACTTACCCATCCGGTCGCTCTGGTACAACTCTCGTCCATTGTTCGTTACGGGGCTAGGACACGAGTCACAACTCCGTTTTATCAGCACATGGCGCGTTCCTCTGGAATCTTTAGCGTCGTACACGGGGGATTGCTAGGTGATGGCGCTAGGAGCGTGCTTGTGCATGTCGGCATGTGCGATTGGGGCCTCATGAGCACGCATAATGTGATTTGGCTCCAGGCTTGATGCTCATGTTTCCCGCGGACTGCAGGGGCTTGCCTCCAAGCCACACGGCGGCGCAACCCCGGAGCAACGCCAGTTCTCCGCTGGACAGCGCACAGCACTCGCACGCAAGCCTGGCTCACGGCCAGCTGCAAGGGCTCGTCCAAGCGTTCCACAGGTAAGCAGGCGAAGCGCAGCACCTAATAGGCGCGGCGAGCACGCATAACACGGTAAACATCTCGCGTTCACATGGAATGAACATTTCACCCAGACAATGCCATGACCCTCATCTCAAGCGGCCGTATCTGAAGGCGCTAATGACGTGCACACACCCTTGCCCCGGCCCATAGCAACATGCAGGCACGTGGCTTCGATCTGACGCGCTCCAAGCCTGGGTGTGCCGGTCCTAGGTACGTATTCAACTGCGGTGCCTATCGTGCGTCATCCACTAGCTGGCATAAAATGGTAAGCAGAAGCTCCATTCGGCATCCTACTCATACATAGCCCTTGTAGAGCTCGTAAAAGCGCGAAAATTAAAGCGTGGCTTAGGATGCATTGAACTTACAAGATGAACATGCGGCAATGCTGGATCTGCTCAAGTGATGCATGGATGAGTGAACCGCGTAAAACGGATCTTTTGGCCATCAGCTATTTGCGGTGACCGTGGTGATCATTCTACAGGGAGGTTGCTGAGCGACCTGGCAGTGTGGAGCGAGCAGCACGGCGCAGCGGGGCAGGGAAGAAGCTAGCAAGCTCATCAACGACGCAGCCTGGAGGTGGAAGCGGGTGTACGGACGCAAAGGCCTCGCGCCAAGTTGAAGCACCTGGTGACGCCGCGGCGGCCCGTCCACAGAGCACCGGACGGAGCGGCTGTGGCCGCCCCAGCGCTAACCGAGCAGAGGATGCGGTCGAGCCAAATCTCTATCCGGGCGACACGGCTATGATGCAGACGCATCGCGACCAGCAGCGCGCTCCTCTAAATGCCGCCGCGGACTGGTCGGCATGTGGTCATGGTGGAATCGAAACGTACGCGGATCAGGTATGGGGATTTTATTGCAATTTTAGTGATGCCCTTTTTCTCGTCGTTGAGTCTTGCCCACGTCAACGCCATAGCTCGATCTATTTTTCCACCAGGGTAGGAAACATGGATTCCAAGACGTTTTAATCTTGGCAATGACATGTACGCATAGAGACTGAGGGCAAAGGCGATGATGCGCTGCAGAATTGCCTGTCTGCCGCAGCTGCAACTAAACAACTGAATGAACACCCTATAAACTATAGCGCCGCACTGCTGCAGCAGTCCCAACCAGGAATAGGACAAAATCCTCTAAGCAGCCCTGGCGGTGTCCCGTGCCTCAGGATGCGGACGCCGCAGCGCTCCTGGCTGCCAAGGAGGCTGAAATAGCTGCACGCGTGGCAGCAAAACGGCAGCGTCAGCAGGAGGCTGCTAGAAAACAGAGGCAGATCAGAGAGGCGGAGGAGGCACGATGTCGACAGCAACAGCAGCAACAGCAACAACGGAACGCCGCGGCAAAGGCACACCTAGACGATGTCATCTCACGCTACAGCGACGCGCGCCGGCAGTGGGCATCGCCACAAGCCGCAGATGCCGCGGGCTCTCCCAGGCCTGGTGCCCCTCCGGGTGCGGCCCGCGCCGCCTGGTAGGTTCCCTTTTTGTTTGCCGCGGAGGGAGGAGCGCGGAAGATAACGAAGCTGGCTGTGTCGCGTAGATGCAATTCCATTCGACGTCCAATCGTGCTGTTAGAATCCATGCAAGCACGGCTCATTGCGTCGGTTCAGACCAAGTTAACCCAACAGACAAGAGAGGCCCGCTAGAGGTCGCGCATATAGGGGGCCGTTTGGCACAAAGCCTGCACAGTGAGGCGCAGTGAGGCCTGCACCACTGCAGAGTACCAACGTACTGTGCAGGGCGCTATCCGTTCTTGACGCGCTGCGGGAATGTGGCGGGAATGTTCACGGTCACTGGATGATGGAACGGAGGCGGTGATGCTATCTTTTATCCAGCACGCAGTGGACTATGGACCTATGTTTCAGCTGCGCCAACGTGTCAGCGAACCGATCTATGAATAAAGGTTGTTGATGGAGCATTAGAAGCTGTGGTAGGGTTGGTAGAGCGGACAGACAACGGATACCAAAATTAAAAGCGGAGCTCTGCGTGTGGTGCTTCGTGTAGTGAATGGAGTAGTGAACCGTCCACCGTGGCATGGGCTTCGTTGTCGCGCCAGCCTGTCGGGCAAGACATCGTGAGAGCAGCATCGCCAGAGATGTTGGCCGTTTTTTTCTCTCGTAAGCACTGGCTCTTGGCACTGGCGGAGCTAGGCGCAGCACAGGGGTGCCATCGCCGCTTCAAGGGGCAAGCAGTCACCGTTGCAGCGCTGGTGCATTGTATTACGGCGCACATCGCCGCAGCCGTATAGGTCGGAGAGTGTGTTGTCTGTTGGCGGGCCAGCCGGGAAGAACCATACTGGGCGATCTCGCGTGGCGGTGGCGCGGAGGGACCTGCAACAGCGCATCCTATGGCGCCTGCAGCGCAGCGGCAACTTTCCTTTCCGCGCCAATCAATCGGCACGAGCTCCCGCTTTGCCCTTATGCAACACCCTGTCCTCCTGTCGCTCAGGACACGCCTCTACCTGGCCATGATTGCGATGTCTGTCTGTCTGGCGCATCGCAACTTATTGTCCGCCTTGCTGTTCCGAAGTTGTGAACCGCATACCCGGCCATTTTTCATGCTCACTACCCTGCGCCAAGCTTGCATTCACTTCGCTTGCGCAGCCGCATCTCAGTTAGCGTGTCGTATAGTCTTGCGGCGCGGCTTCAGCTCCGCTGTTTGTAACTTTTGCGGCACGGCTAAGAGTTTTGGTCCCCACCTGACATACATGATGCGACTCTCGCCACGTCCCCTGGGTGCCCCACACGCCGCTACCACCGCCAGGAGCCCTAACACGGCAGCAGCTATAACCGAGGGGGCAAGCCAGGGATTCATCGCCGTGACCGCAACACAGCTTCAGCGGACGAATAGCATGAGTACCAGGCTAAGTCCGGCTTCTGGAACTATCGGACCGGAAGATGGCCCACCCAAGCCCGAGCTGTATGGGCCTGCTAGCTCGGAAAAGCTCGGCCAAGACAAGGCGAGGGTGACGGCCCCAGATAGGCAACCGGATGGGGCCGCCGGGTCGCCATCCCCTGCCCCAAGTGGACAGGCAGTGACGTGGGTGGAGCGGAGTACAGCGACAGGCTGGCATGGCGCAGATGCTGGCGGCGGCAGCACCACCACCGACGTTCCCGCGCGGTTGTCCGCCACGTCACATGAAGGCACACCGACAAACGGAGCCCAGTCTATCTCCTGCATGTTTGCTTCACCGCGCAACGCGGTTCTGCCGCACTACTACCCGGCCACAAGCTGCAGCCAACACAGTGCCAGCCCTCGTCGGCACAGCCGCAGCTCCAGCCCCGCCACGTCTCCATCGTGCCGCAAGGCTTGGCCTTCACCCGACCCCGCCATCGTGTACAGCGTCACGCGCAAGATGCGCACCTCCCCGCTGGCTCTGGAGGTACTGGTTAAGGAGGCGCTGGCCCCGGTGCCCAACATTGCCGGCGCGCAGCCTAGCGGGGTTACGTCCTGTTCCGTGCTCGTTCCTCAGCCCCTCGTCTCCGAGGGTAGCGGAGGCGTGCGGAGGCGTGCTGCACCGGCTAAGTTTGAATTTAGCGGTCTCATCACATCTATGCTACCGCAGCCGCCAGCGTCGGTGCTGGCGGCGACAGCGGCGCCGGTATCCCCGTTCCAGCAATCCGGCGGCAGCACTAGCCCTCACAACACCAAGCAGCTGTTGCCGGATGCACCGCTTGTAGGTCCCCTTTTTTCTGGTATTAGCAGCGGCATAGCTGCGCACGGCGGCGAAAGTGGCGGTGAAGACCTTATCGATGCAGCTCCTTACGTACCAGACAGCAGAACCCACAATGACTTTGAGTCCCCAGGGAGCAGCCTTCACAGCGGTGGCTCGTATATCAGGACAGGGCCGATACGGGAAGAGCGCCCCGCTAACCTGGGGACGAGCGGTAATGCAAGCGGCGTCGTGATGAGCAACACCGTGGGCAGCACCGCGGGTGTCTGCGGCTCCCAACCGGCACTGGCGCTGCTGCTGGCCAGCCCACCAGCTTCACCCAGGCGGCTGGCAGCAAGGGCAGCCGCTGCCATTGCTGCACGACCGAGCCCGCGGCGATCCTCTCCACGTACGGCCCGTGCCCCGCCACCGGACACTGGGAACGTAAAATTGCTGCACAGGCAGCCCAGTGGTGATCAATCGACGGAGCGCATGCGGCGAGGAGAAGCGAAGACAGGCCCTAGGTCCGCCTCCGCCGGCGGGTCGCGCCCGGCTTCGGTGCCTTCTTCACGACGCCTGCCGTCCACAACCCTTTCACGCCAGGCCTCCTTGGCCACGACACGCCCCTCCTCAGTGCCACCCGCCTCCCGTGCTTGCACTGAACGGCGGCCAGTGGCGCCTGCCCGGTCCAGGCGTAGCAGTGCTGGGGTGTTGACGGCGGCGCCCTCCTTGCATGGTGAGCAGGGCCCAAGCACAGCGGCCGCTGCACCGATGGAACGCACACGTTCGTTTATCTCCCGTGCTCCCTCAATGCAGCTGTCCTCCTTACGCGGCTTTACCTCCGCATCCACAATGGCCTCGATGCCCAGCAGCACCCAACTGACGGAGATGGCGCGGCGCAACCTGGCGGCCAGCCTGCCGCAGAACTTAAGCTTTGCAAGCAGCTATGGCGGCAGCCGAGCAGCAGCTCGCCAACCAGGAGGGAACGGGTCCAGTGTTTCAGCCGCTGTCGGCAGCAGCCTTGGCGATGGCAGCGGCGGCGCCCCCGGTGGAAGCACAGACGCTGGCGGCAGCGGTGCCGGCAGCAGGTTGGGGGACCAGCACGGAGGCTCGGGCCTGCTACAAACGACATGGAGCAGGATGGAATCAGCGGCGCGTGACGGCCGCACCAGCCAAACGAGCGAATTTGCTGGCGGATCCTCAAGCGTTGGTATCAGTGCTTTAGCTGGGCAATACCCTTGGAGGGGGAATCGCTACGGCCATAGCAGGCTCGCGAGGAGCCATGACGGATTGATAAAGTCGGGCTCCAGCTTCAGCAACACGGACCCGAATGCAGCTTACGCCAGCGGTAGTGATGGGCTCATAGGGCACAGCGGCAGCTTCGGACGTGGCCTGGACCTCGCTGCGCACGTCGGCAGCAGTGATAGCTTCGCAACGTCGGCGCAAACGAGGCAGCCCTTGCGGAGCAGTACTGCAGCCGCCACCGCTGGCTTTAACGGCAGCCCCAGCGTTGAGACCCTTGGCAGCGACTGGATGGTGAATAGCAGTAATGAGAAGCGCTGCGACGGCTTCTCTAATCCTAGCGATGATCGCGATGGATGGAGCACACAGGCCGGCATTGCGGGCAGCTCAGGCGGCGGATCAGAACCCCTGGAGTTTGGCTCGTCCAACGGCACGGTGGACCTTCAGCAGAGCCTCGGCAATCTAGCCCAGCGCGTCCAGGAAACGCCCACGCTGCTCAGGAATATCGCTGCATCGGCACCTGCGGCGCGGATACAACCGGACTTGACCTTGACAGGCTCAGCGGCAGCTACCTCGCGCCGTAATGCTTTAAGCGCCGCGCCAACGATGCCGTCGTCAGAACCGCAGTGGCACCAGATGGGGCGCACACAAGCGCATCTGGACCGCGATGGTTTTACGACATGGTCTTGGACGGGGACTCACAGTGAGGCCTCACCCTTACGGACGGGGACTCACAGTGCGTCGCTGTCGACACGCAACACGTTTGCGCTGTCTGCTGCAGAGGCAGCGGGGGAGCTGGCGCTGCTGGATGTGGAGGGCGTGATTCAGGAGTTCGAGCGGTCCCTGCAGGTAAGACGTGAGAGGGGTTACGGGGACTGGGTGGATACGGGGCCGGGACTTGGTTTATAGCTTTGGTGGAGTGTTGATTAATCTGAGCGGCGATGAGGAAAATGGAGATGTGCGCTACACGGTTAACCTTACCAACGCGAGCTCCATAGTCAACCGCGACGTGGAAGGATTTTCCAATGGAAGAAGTATACGTTGCTAGCATCATCATCATCATCAAGTAGACGTTGAATAGGAGAGCGATGCGAGAGCCTGTAGAAATAAGCAGCGCTGTGGTGTTTCCAAGTTGGCAACATTACCGCGAAAGATGGACAATTGGGCACAGCAGGAAATTTGGTAAAAGTGCGCAGAAAAGAGCTGCTACAGGACTGGAGCTGCAGGCCGGGACCCTAGGGCTTGGGGTGGTGTCTATGCACGCGGAAGCTTAGGCGATGTTCCCATCTAGCACAGCACAACGCTTGATGTAGACAGTTGCCTGGTTAGGCAGTTGCCTGGCTCGTGGCGGCCGTGTTCGGCCGTATGGCGCGTGACGGGGATAAAGATGCCAACCTTGACTTAAGTTTCCTTCCACCTTCCACCATTCAAAGCGCCACTGCATCTCACCAACGCGCAGAACCATTTGGAGCTCAGCGGCGGTGGCGCTCAGCCCGGGCTACAGTCCGTGCACCACAGCGGTGGCGGTATCGGCAGCAGTGGCGGCAGCGGCGCGCTTTTCCCCTCCGCTGCATCGCGCCTCGCAGACCGATTCGCCCTGCACTCCGCCCTGGCGGACTTCCGCCAAGCGTTTGATCGTTTGCGCCGGCGCCTCGCGCTACATGTCAGTAACCCTGCCGTTGCCGACGCCTTGTACGGCACCAGCGGCAGTGGCGGTGCTACCGCCGCCAGCGGAGCTGGGGCACACCGGTACAGCAGCAACCCCTCGCACACACGCGGATCCGGCAGATCCGAACGGCTCGCAACCTCAACCAGCCAGCATGTGCAGCGGCGGTCGGGAGGCGTCGCTCGAGCCGGGTCCGTGGACAGCAGCCTGCGGACCGCTGCGACCAGGCGCACGTTAGGCTCCGGCAGCAACAGTGCTGATGCAGGTTTCGATTTGGGCAGCCGCCATTTGAACCCTACGGAGCGTTTCAGCAGGGTCGCTACCGCGGCAGTTGCTCACTACCGGGACGATGTGGCCTTGCTACTGTCGCGCGTACGGGCTGTGTTACGTCCCTCCTTGGACGGCTCGGCTACGGTTGGGTTGCGGCGCAGGAGCAGCGGCGCTGGTGCTGGCGCTGATCGTGACGGCGGCGGGATGGCACTGGGCTCGTCCATTAGCCGGACGCTGGAGAACCTGTCCGAGGAGGAAGAAGCCCTGCGGGAGCTGGCCTTGCGCCGGCGACTGGTTTCCGAGATGCTGCAGACTTTGGAGGTGCGTCCGCGCGATCTGCTTTGTTACTGTTGAACACAGCAAAGCGCCGGACCCCTCTGGTCCTATTACTGCTGTCACCATTCTTTGGTGTATGAGTGTCGGTAGCTTTCCAATAGTACGGCGCGTTTTTGCTGTTAAGAAAGGGTCGTTAGGAAGTGCAGAGGATTGGGCGCAGTTGTCGTGCATTTACTCGGTCGGCCGTGTGAAGTGCGTCCTTATAAGGGTAGAACAGACAAGGAGGGTCAGGAGTGGAGTAGAATGTGTGCGTCAACATGAAGTCATTATACAGCACGTAAGGAAGGAAGGAAGGAAGGAAGGAAGGCCACAGGGAGGGCAGAGGAATTCCCAGACACGTCGCTTTCGAGACCGGAGGCCCTTTTCCCCGCCAGCCAGGCCCTTCTGCCCACACTGCTCATGACGAAGACCCGCCCAAAGACCCGCAGTCAAATAAAAGCCTTTCCCCTACTACCGCCTCCTACCGCTTTCCCTCTCTGCCGCTACAGGAGTCCGCACACCAGTTGGGCCTGCAGCTTGTCACCCTCGCCGCCGGTCTCGTCGACATGCCACCGCCAGCCCTATCCCGCCTGCGCGCCGCCCTCCACGGGCACCTGGACGCGGGCCTCGCAGCCACCAGCAGCATCCTTGCCGGTAATTGCACCGGCGACAGTCGCCCCACTGGACTAGGTGAAAGCCGTCCTCGAAACATTCCGGGCACCAGCAACGCCGACCTCGGCCTGCATGGTAGCCATGACAGTGGCGAGGCAGGCGACCTATCCCCGTCCAGAGGCGGTCCCTTCGCGCGACCCGCAGCCCAATCCATCCGTGACGTGCTCGAAGCCATGTATCCCAACGGCGGCAGCAGCCGTGACGGTCGTGACTGTGCGGGCAGGTACAGCGCCCCTGCTGCACGTCATCACCGATACGATGCCGGCAGTAGTGGAGTCTCAGGCAATGGTGAGCTGGCAGAGGCGGTGGAGGCAGCCACAGCAGCTGGTACGAGCTCAAGAGGGCGTCTGAGCACCGTGGGCGCGACGGCGGCATCGGGCTCCCTGGAATCGGAGGTCCTGGGGATGCAAACCCAGCTTGCTAGATGGCAACGTGAAGGGAAAAGCCGGGACTGGCTTGGTGACATGCCGACGCCAGGAGCAGGCCCAGCTGACCTCAGCTCCCAAAGGGGGCACCAGGGGGCGATGGACAAAAGCTGGTCGCAGCTGCATCAAGACTTGGCTGGCGCTCACATGGACGCGGATTTCAGGAACGTGTACTCGGATGGGAGGCATGCGGGTGGTTCATATTTGGGCGGGGCTAGTACTGAAGCCGGCGCTACTGGCCAGCTGCCCTCGTTTTTATCGCCGCTCCACAATCCCGCTGGAGGTGCTGCAAGCGGCGTCAGAAGCGCCGTTTTGGGGACTGGTGGTGGAGGTGGCCGCCACACAGCCGCCTCCGCTGACCTGTTTGCGACAGCCTTCGCCTCGCCGGCCGTTGACATCATCCCGCCCAGCGGCTCTGCTCTTGAAGTCCTCATGATGGCCGGCGTTTCCCCTCATGCCTCTTATTCTACCCCGTCCTCACGGAATGAGCAGCATCACCTTCATGTCGCCGGTACACAAGGCACCAACCAGCCCGCCGTTTCCGTACAGCTCCCCGTCCTGGCGTCACCATCCCCGCCCCCATCAGCGTCGCTGCCGCGGCCTTCTGGCTGCAGTTCTACGGGCCCAACACCGCAGACAGGGCGTCCATCCGCAAATGCCTCGCTGCAAGGCACCACAACCGCTGCAACGCCTGGCTCAGCTTCCCATGAGCCACCGCCGCTTTCTCCTGCAGGCCGCCAGCTTACCCTGGCAGGACCGCCTGCAGCTCAAGGCCAGTCCTTGGAGCTTGGGCTCCGGCAAGATGGCGACGCGCCTGAGGAGCCGTGGCATGCCGGCGCGGCGGCACGGCAGCTGAGCCGCGAGGCACGCGCCATTTGGGCCACAGCTGCGGCCCGCGGATTGGCACGTGCGAATACATTCAGCTTGGAGCTGGCGGGAATGCGCGACGGGGCCGTCGTTGCAGTCGAAGGCGCTGCAACGGCTGTCAGTGGGGCGGCGGCCACGGTTGCAATGGCGGCGGCGACTGAGTGGGCCCGGGAAGCCAAGGAATCGGCCAGGGATGCCATTGGGTCGCAGCGAGGAGCCAAGGAGTCTGCTTTAGAGGCCCTAGAATCCGCTCGTGAAACCAAGCAATCGGTTCACGAAGCTAGGGAGATGACGCAGGAAACGAAGGACGCCGCACAGGAAGCCAAAGAATCAGCCCGTGAAGCCAGGGAGTTGGCACGGGACGCCAATCAATCAGCTTGGGAGGCTAAGGAGTCGGCTAGGGAGGCCAGGGAGTTGGCACGGGAGGCCAGGGAGACGGCCAGGGAGGCGAGTGAGAGGGAGGCGGCGACGATTGCGCAGCGCCAGGCTGCCTTGGCAGCGGAGCGGCAGTCGGTGCAAAAGGCCGCGTTGGAAGCCGCGCTGGAAGCGGCCAGGGATGTGGCCCGGAAGACTGCCTTGGAGGTCGCTACAGAGGCGGCACGGGAGGTGGCCATCGCTGGCTTGCAGGAGGCCGTGGCGGTGGGACGCCAAGAGGCACAAGAGGAGATGGAGGAGCTGCGTCAAGAGCTGGCGGCGGCACAGGAGAATGCGGCCGTGAGCTCCGTAGAAATCGAGGGCCTGCACAACTTGCTGGAGGCAGCGAGGAAAGATGCGGCCGCAAAGTCGGAAGAAGTCGACAGCCTGCGGGATCAGCTGGCAGCAGCGGAGGCAGCGGAGGCCGCCAGTGCTCTGCAGCTTCAAACGCTCTGCAGGGAGCTGGTGGCAGTCAAGGACGCAGCGGCGATGAACTCCAAGGAAGTCGATAGACTCCGCAGCCAGCTGGAAGCAGCGAAGGAAGATGCCGCCATCAGGTCCCAGGAAGTCGACAAGCTGCAGAAGCTTCTGGAAGCGGCAACGATGGCAGCGGCGGCCAGCTCGCGGCAGGTCGACAATTTACAGACGCAGCTTGAGTCAGCCAAGGCGGAAGTGGCGATAAGCTCCCGGCAGGTCGAGGAGCTGCATGTTCAGCTGGCGGTAGCAAAGGAGGAGGCCAGCACGGCCGCGGCGGCGGGCAGCAAGGACGCCGAGCAGCTCCAGCAACAGCTGCGGGAAGCGGAGCGCGCGGTGACGGCTCGGTCGCAGGAGGTAGATGAGGCGCGCAGGAAGCTTGCAGCACAGCGAGGCGCCTTGGAGGCCGCCCTGCAGGAGGCTGAGGCGCTGCGCCAGCAGCTCGCCGCGGCAGAGATGGCGGCAGTGGCCCGCGGTCGTGATGCAGATGAGCTCCAGCGGCGACTGACGGAGGTACAGGCGGCGGCCGGCGCCAGCAACGCCGAGGCAGCGTTGCTGCGAGGTCGGCTTGTGGAATATCAGCAGCTGGCGGAGGCCCGCGGCCATGATGCCGAGGAGCTGCGGCGGCAGGTCGTGGCGGCAACGGCTGCTCTGGAGCAACAAGTCCGGGAGACGGAGGCCATGCGTGGGGAGAAGGCTAGGCTGCAGGCGGCGGTGGAGACGAGCGACCAGCGGTTGAGTGAGTTGCACCACAAACAGCGTGTCATGATGGAAAAACAGGCAGTGGAAGCGCAGAGCTGCGACCTTGCGCAGATGCGGCCACATCTGGGGCCAGGGCAAGCGGGCGCGGTGCGGCCAAAAGAGGAATCGGGATCGATCGGAAGGCAGGGTGAAGCCGCGGCGGCGGCAGCAGCAGCAGCAGCAGCAGCAGCAGCGGAGCGCCAGACAGTGCAGGCCGGCGCGTTCGAGCAAGCGCTTTCCGTGGCGCGGGAGGCGGCGGAGGTTGCGGCACATGGCGCCGCCGCAGCTGCGGCAGAGCGTGAGACAGCCACGGCGGCAGCGGTATTGGCGGTGGAGGCGGCCTCCAGCCTGGCGCTCGCACGCAAGGCGCTCCTGGAGGCGTCGCAAGTAGCCGCGCCCTTCATGCAACCACCCGATGGTCCTCTCCCTCCACCGTCCGAATACAATGCTGTCGGTACTGCAAGCCAGCACCAGCACCACGCTCGTCATCACAAGTACGACCTTACGGCGGCTTCATCCCATACCGTTGTAGCTCCGGAACCGCCAAGAGGTTCTGGAGCTGAAGAAGTTGCGGGCGCTAAGATATTCCAATCTTCATCTCACGCGCCCACTGGCATTGCCGCTGGCCAAGCGGAGACATCAGGCACACTGTTACCGCCGCCGCATCCTGCTTCATACCATGCAGTTGTCTGGGAGTTGCACTCGGCTCATGCCAACTCAATTCATCACCCGGTTCCGTCGCCGGGGGGCATGGATAACGCCGGACCTCCTCGTCCCCCACAGCCGCCGATGTTGCCAGCAGATTTCCACCTCCACGATCACTCCACGCCACACGGGGAAGACCCGGCAGGCTCGCCCGGCAGACCTAGGGTCATTGTGGAAGCCCATGCTCCCGACGTCCTTCTCGACGAAGCCTCATCCCCCGCCGTCGCCGCGGCCGTGGCAGCAGTGGCAGCGATGCACCGCGAGGCCATTTTCACGGGGCCGGGACCGGCGGCGCCACCGCCGCCACCGCCGGTTGTGAACGCGCCCATTGCACGCAGTCCACGCAGGCCGGAATACGACGAACCAGACTGGAGCCCTAGGATGGCGCGGCAACGCGGTAATGCAATGCCGCCGCCGCCAGCGTCGCCGTCACCGCCGCCACCACGCGATTGGGGAACGTGCAGCTTGGCGCCCGGTCCGCCGTACGACGATCCCGACGGCAGCAGGTGTCACATCCGCGGTCTGCGTGTGGATAGTTACCCAAAGGCTGCCACCGATCCAAATGCAGATCGCAGGGTCGAGGCAGTAGCCCGTAGCGTTTCCAGTTCCTCTACTGAAATGACCCTGCAGGATTTCCGAATCCGTAGGGAGCAGTTAGCGACCTCCCCGCCCTCTCGGCTTAACACGGGGCCGGGGACAGCAGCCCGTCGCCACGGCAGCATGCCACACGAACGCAGCGGCGTGCGGCTCCGCTCTGGTGCCATCCTTACACCGGACATCAGCAGCCACGACAGCTTTGGCAGTAGCCTCGTCAGTGGTACCTGCAACGGGTCCGGCGGCAGTGCTCGCACCAGAATCGCCGACGGCGGCGTTACTAGCAGCGGGATTGGAACCAGCAGCGGAGGCATCGGCACTAGCAGCAACGGAAACGGAAGCAGGGATGGTGTTGGCAGTATCAGCGGCGTCGGGACCAGCAGCGGGATTGGAACCAGCGGCGGAGGCGTCGGGACCAGCAGCGGCACCGCGAGCAGGGGCGGAAACGGAACCATCAGCGGAAACGGAAGCAGCGGCGGGATTGGCAGTATCGGCGGTATCGGCAGCAGCAGCAGCGGAGGCGGCAGCAGCAGCAACGGCGCCATGGATGCCGGACTCCGCACGTTCCGCAATGCCGCACTGGCCGCCGCTCTGGACATCGGCGCCTGCCGGGACTTCCAGGATTTCCAACTTGCCAAGCAACGACTCGGCCTACTGGACACCTCACCGCCACCACTAGCCCCCACACCAGCAGCTGTCGCCACAAAACCGCCAAGGTCTGTTTCCACGTCGCCGCACGCACTTCCCTCACGTCCCCAACTCCAGCCGCAAGCGAAGCAGCTGCAGCCAGGGCTCCGTTCCCTGTCTGATAGGTTCACGGCCAACGGGTCATCCTCGTCATCGTCCAGCGGGTTCAAGTTACCGCAGGAGGCAGCTGACGCCCTCGCACGAGTCGTCCGCAGGGGGGAGGAGGAGGCGGAGGAGGAGGAGGAGGCGGGGAATGACCGAGGCCGGGATTTGCGGAATGAGGAGCAGGCTCTGAACCCACGGGAGCTAGCGGCACGGCTGCGGCAGCTGACGTCCCGTACGACGCAGCTGCAGCACCGTGTGGCCAAGCTGACGAGGCCGCGTGGAGAGCTACCACAGTGATGTGGGTGTGGGCAGTGCGCGGCAGAGGGGATGTCCTGGTCATGGGTAGGTGTGGAAAAGGGAGTAGCCCATGCCGGCTTGGTTTCGGTTTTAGGTTACGAGAAACGCAACCGAGGTGTACCACAGACAGGTTGGGGGGTTGGATCCTTTGGGGGAGAGGGCTGTGTTGGCGTTGAGGTCGCGCTGGGCCAGGAGCGCCCGCCTGTCGGTCTGTCGGGGTGCGGCGATGGTGGCGTTAGGGGTTGGGGCGCCGTACAGGTGCCTGCAGCATTGCTGCTGCTTGGTTCTTCTGAGATTCGTGCAGCTCGAGTGCGATGCGATGGAGACGAGGTGGGCCCGGCGCCGTGCTGCTGCTGGTGCTGTTGGCTTGGAACGCGAACTCTTGTTTAAATTAGGCCCATATGCCGGTCGGTTTTGCGCGTTCTAGCCCTGACTGCTATAGCGGGTTAGGGGGTTATGGTGCCCCGTATGCCACGTCGATCCCTCGATGCGGGTTCCACCGCTACAAGGTCCATGCCTGGAACCGCGTCGAACGCTTTCGTTCCGGGCAGTGACGCGTCGCGTGTGAGCTGGCTGGTACGAGTGCATGGAAAGAAGGGGGGCCTTATGTTGCTGCGAGTGGGTGTATGCTGTGCAAGTAGGCGTGCGCGATACATGGCTGGCATGCCGGTTTGCGGATGTAAGGTGCGGAGGGGTCACGCGCTGTGGCGCGAGATCCACTATCCCCTGTCCGACATCTGGCGTTCTGTATGTCAGTTCATGGATGAGTATCCATTCTCCGGCAGGTTGTCTGACGAAGAGTGCGTAGGTGCACGCATGTCGGGGAGGTCCCACACGGGTGCCATATGGTAGGAACACACGTGGTGGAACACACACAGACACACATGCATACACGGCGCGAGCTGAGACATCGCGCATAACCAAACTTTGGATTTCGCAAATCAAAAGGAGTCGCCTTAACTTATGTTTCGATGTGTGTATGAGCTAGGGTGCCGCAGGCAATTTAACTGACCCGTGGGTCAGCTTGTTTTGGATTGTTTATCTGTTGGGCCGGCCCCTGCATTTCAACCCATGACAGTAGCGGCTGTCAGTATGGGATAAATCAAGCGAGGGAGTTAACGAATGGAATCTGAAGATTATGTGTATCACAAGCATCGTTGCTGTACCACCTGAAAGCGGCCCATGCCCTGTCCGACAGGTCCATTCGTTCCGTGGCATTTGAACACGCATTATCACCACGAATCAAGCAGCATATAAAAATTTTGGGGTCTTTTGAAATGTACTTCTAAACTGTAGAGTTGTATTGTAAACGCCCCGTAAAGATTCGACGGACAACTGTCTCGGAGTTTGCCTTTGAAGTCAAGTTGCAATGTCAGAAGGGGCGGGCCCTGAAGAGCGCGCGGCTCGGAGCTACCGCGCCGCTGCCGAGGACGAGCTGCTAGCGGCATTGAAACACGAGGTGTGCGAAGGCGATCCGTTGGGCTGCAGAGCCTCTCGACGCATCTGGGAAAAGCATTCCACAGCAAGCAGGCAGGAGAGGATAGCGTGCTCATCAGTGCCTGTTGCCTTTAGCTTATGTCTTCCTGGCCTTATCGAACGTTTGTTGCGGTAGATAGGCAGGAAACATTTTTCCCGAATGTTTTTATCCTGCCAGAGTGCTAGTTGAGCCAAACTGCCACTGTCCATGTTCCTTTTCCTATCTTCTTTTTTTGCGCTGCTGTTGCTGCTGTTTCTGGTGCTGCCGCGCTGCAGACAATTGTCCGCACGATATCTTACAAGGAGGACACAGGTGGTCAGGACCCGCCGCGGAACTCTCCACCGTCGCTTGCCGCTGGTGTGTGCGTCTTGAATCTTCCTTACTCATACGATTGCCCGAATTATTCATTGCATTTGCGTGTCTTCGTTAGAAATTCAGCCGTAGATAGGTGGCAACCCCATTTCTGTCCCGTCCATTTTCCAAGCGCTCGCAAAACATATGGCCATGAATTGGGCCGCGCACCGCAGCATGCTCCGCTCCCGTAGGCTTCCCTTCTTGCTGACTCGCTGTTCTGTGCTCTGCCCAGCCACGTAAATCGAAACCGGAGATTGCGCGCAAGTATTTCAAAACGAGTGAATGATTGAGATGGATATAATAATGTCGTCAACACAACTCGACACCACACCAACGCGAAAAGCGCACACAAACCTTTCAAGTGGCCAGGTCCTAGTCCACACAATGTCGACGTAAATTCGCAGGCGCCTTCGGCAAATACGCCAGTGCAATTGCGGCCGAGCGGCACCTGAGCCCGGTGGCGGTAATGGGGTCGGTGGGGGTGCCGGATTCCCGCGATGCGCTCCCCAGTGAGGAAGAGCTGGCACAGCGTTTGGCACAGCAGGTACGGTTACATGCAGTGCAATTGGTTTTTCCCATTTCGGGAACTCGATAGCCGTGTTGCTGTTGTAGTGATGATCGTATTTCATTTATCAGCTTTGCGTCGCGGAGCCTCGCCTTGTGACTAGCTCCAGCACGGCACAGTCATATGTGTATGCTCCATGCAGCAAGCAAGCGAGCTGGATACGGGTGAAGGGGAAGGTGAAGGTGGAGGTGGGAATTCGGCTGTGGTGCACCTCGGTTGCGTTACCCAGAGAGGTGCAGCGAGCCCGTGTGCGGCTTCCGTACCTCGTTTGATTGGTCGCCAGTGTGTCACGGGGCACGTGAGATCAATGGCGTGCTGAAACGGGCCTAGGGTGTGGACGTGGGCTCGCTGTGGTTGTGCACCTGGCCCTGCAGGCGGAGGCAGCGTACAGCGCTGAAAGGGCCTCTGGCGGGGGTTTGGTGGGTCGCAGCGGCATTGCATCCAAGCTGCAGAGCGCCGCGGACAAGTTTGCGCGCATGGTACGAAAGGGTGGATGTGGGTGAAAGCGGTAACGGGGAACGAAAACCGATGAAAGCCGGAATTCCGTTATTGAGCACTTGAGGACTGATTTCGGCGGGGTATGGGATGAAGCGAATAGAGAAGAAGGTTAAGCTGAGAAGAATATAGAATATAACATGTGGGCGAATGGATTGCAGAACTCTTCAGAACGTCAAAGAGTTATGGGATCATCTGACAAGGACCTGCACGCGGGATGCACTGCGAACAGAATTTTTTGAATAACTCTTCAACGTCAAAAATCACGTTTTAAACCACATTTGGCACGCTAAAACTCGCCTTTTGCTTGCATTATTCAGGTGGCATTGGATAAGGCTCCCACAGATTCAGGAGCGGCGGATCCGCATCCTGACTTTGCACGTCAAGTTGTGGCGGTGGAGGCGGACCGACACCAGGAAGGGACGGCGGCGGCGGATGCGCGGTTGCAGCAGCCGCCGCGGCCGCAGTAGTTGTATCTCAACAACCTTAACTAGCCGAAACAGCCGTAGCTACAGCTTAAGAAATATAGCCGGTAGTAAGCAAGGATAGGTGCGATGGCGGCGACGTGCCCTGCCGCCAGTTTCAAGGCGTTTTTCGATGTAAATTGGAGTTAACACCGGTGGTTGACGGTTTTCCAGGGATTTGTGAGGTCCACGGATTTCTTGTGGATTTAAATTGATGGATGGCGTACCGAGGAATTATCAAACCGTATCTTTGCATATTTAATCTGTTGCGTAACGACAAGCATTACTGATAGCGCCCTCCTCCATCGCATGCGCGTGCACACAACGTACACAAGAAATACAGTAACACTGATCCCATGCACATGGGGGGGATGTCAATGGACAATCTGTCACCACATGGGTGAAAGTGCCACAACCCTGAAGCATGAACTCGCAGACGACTCCTTGGTGGATGATTTTTCAGTTTTACCTCGTCACTGAGGCGCTCCGCTTCCACGCTGCGTGTTACACCTAGTGCCCGCAAGCCCACGGCCAAAAACGCCCTTCAGCAGGGCACAATCCCTTGACAGGAGGATTGCCAAAGAGAAATCGCGAGGTCGATTCAGAGGTGGTGTGTTCGCCAACTCTCCTGCGCGCGCCCTCCTCCGGTTTCCTAAGTCCAAAATCGGTACCCGGGCGAAAGGTGTACCCAGGCCTTGCCAATGGGGAGAGCTGAAAAGGGACGCAAAGGTCAAGGCGAAACTTTCCCCCCCTCAGGGACCGGAGTGAGTGGATCATACCGTCTACGAAATATATACCCGATTGCACAACATTCATAATAATGCGATAATCATCCAGGAACGTGTCGGTTTCCTTGAGCCGGGTAAAACGGGGCCCCTTCGAATCCGTACAAGCTGGCTGCTTAGTTGCATGAACGATAATTGCTGCTTGGTGCTTCAACCTCCAACCCCGGCCCCCTTTTTAAATAATCCTTGCCCGGCATCGCGCAGAGTAATTATATGCTTGCGTAGGCATGGCATGTTGCAGAAAAGCATAGCTGCTTGTCTTGATTTTTCTTCATCCTTCTTCGCCAAAAGCAGGATCCGTACACAGCAGGGCTGAAGGACGGCAGCACACTGAAGCGCGGGGCTCATGATCTGTAGAGATCATGAGTCTTTCTGTGAACAAAACACTAATCCACATCGCAACACGCGCGCGAGAGAGAGACAAAACTGAAGTCATGCGAACTATATATTAACTCATCGCATCTGATCCTGATCTAGTGTCGTAGCAGACTACTAAATCAGCAAGCTTAAGCGTCTATCAAAACGGTTTTCCAACAGCTCACGAAAACTGTGAGAGGGAGGCTGTGCGGGGTGGTAGCTTATCCCTCTGGTCGGCGACTTACTCCCGAAGCAAGCGTAGGAAAACATGTAATGAAACTTAATCTCAGATGCCGATCAGAAGCAGGGTTGCCTCCTCCCCCACCGCTCATCTGCGGGTGTGAGAGGACGGGGAGGGAGAGTACCCGGTAAAATGCAAGCAGTAGTAATCGCTCCTTTCCCCTCTTTCCGTCTTCTTTCCCCCAGTGTATGGGCGTTAAGGGGCTTGCAAACACGATTCGTCCCTCGTAGGCTACGCGTGATACAGTAGCCAACGTGAACGAACGGAAGGCTTTGAGCGTCATCACGGAATTCATACGCGTCCTTGAAAAGCCTTCGCACGCGCGTCGTGCAAAGGTTTACGATAGGTGCACGATGAGCGTACAAAGGTTTATGATATGTGTCTCGCTTTAGCTTTATTTGCCAAATAGGCAGCAGAGTCGCGCTGAAAAAAACCTGCTCGTGGAGCGGCTGGTCAACTTTGCCATGGAGCCGATTTAAACCCATCCGTCTATAGATTTCGTGAATGGCCAGTGAACAAACGCTGGATGGTGAGGATGCTGAGATATTACAGGATGTATCGCATCGTAAGGGAGAAACAGGGAGAACGGAAACGATTTCGACGACGTGGACGACAGTGCCACTACAGGAGCTCTCCATCTGTCTCGTGCTGAGCAGGGCAAAAGGCTGTAGCACACCTGCAACCCCCCTATGCTATGCTAAGGTACCCGCTGTGTGTTTCATTCAAACAGTGCCGATGATTTTGTCAGCTGCTGCCCAACTGGAGAGGTGCCGTATCAGGGCCGAGGTGCCGTATCATGGGCTGCTAACCATGGCCGCCCATGCACTAGATAGCAACCAGCGGCCTGCACAGCATCTACTCAAAAAGTATGACAGCCTGTGAATGCTCGCTGTAGAGAGTCGGCCTGTTTCCCGTCTTTGTTGGAATCAACTACCTGCAGCTGCTTTTGCATTTTTTTAAAAAATATCGGAACCGCTTTACAGGGAACTGGAATTCCAACTTCCTACTGGAATTTCTCAACATCGGAACGATGTTAGCGATAGCCGCATCTCCAGGAGACCGCACACAACAGGGAAACGGCGCCGCCCGGCAATAAGGCTGGTCTCTGCCCATCATCCCGCGACATCTGTTCACCTGCCGCAGCTCTGGGCTCCCCTGGGGATCCGTATCCGCCGCCGATACTTGCCATCCACCTCCTCTCCGCACAGCTTCAGATGCGGTTTTCAGGGCACTCACGGCACAGACAGACAGACAGACAGAAAGACTACATGTAACAAATTACTCCACTCGTGTTCTTCCCCTTGTAGCAGGTGCCCTTCCCGGTGTTTGGCTGTCCTACCAGCCACCTGCCACCACACCCGGTCCTTGTTGTTCCAACTTCTACGACTCTCTTCTTCAGCAGGTACTGCCGGTAATATCAGCCCTTCCTTTAATGCTCTTGCCGCCACTGCTACTGCTACTACTGCTGTTGCTTTTGTTGCTGTTCTTGTTCTTGTTGCTGTTCGCCGTCCGCGCCGCCTTGTTGCCGTACTCCCGCCTCGGCGTCTTCGTCCATGTCATCTGACAGGCCGCCCAGGAGCTCCAGGAAGGGTTCGTAATAATCCCGGTGTTCCACCGCGCACTGGAGAAAGGCCTTAAACTAACAACGGTCGAGGCGGTTATGACAACGGGATTTAGTCCGTGTGGGCATTGGACAGCATGTAAGTTCCAGAACCACGGGGGAAGGCAGGAAGGCGAGAGAGAGACCGAGATGTCAACACGGACAGCAGGCGTGTCTGGAAGTGAGGTGTGATGTGTTGGGCGCGCTGAGTGCGGAGGATGGTGAAGGCCCTGTTAAGTTGACGTACTGACGCTCCTTGCTGACCGTTGGTTAGTTAACGGTTGGTTGGACGAGCATAACCAAAGTAGTTACCCGAGATTATCGCACAGCGCCCTTTCTGTGGCCCGTGTCATCACCGCGTTCAAACGCGTCCTTCACCTTCGTGCCCCACCCTTTTTATTTTTTAAAATAAACGTCCTTAAGCCTATAAATTATTAGTGGCTAGAATCTGACAACAGGCGAGTGTCGAAGGACAAGGAAACCAGAAAAGCGAGGAAAATGTGAGCTCTAGCTGTACGATAAGTACGGAGGCATCTACGGGATACAGTTACTTACTGTTATATCCAATCCCGTAAGTCCATATTTAATTCAATGACGGTGGCTCCGATGATATAAACAGGGCTGTGCCCATATGGTAAATGATGATCATCAAGACGGCTTTCGTTGGCGTTTTTTCAGTTGTTGGCGATTAAAGCTAAGTCCCCACATTCCAGCACACCGATTAAAACGGCCTAGAGGTTTTCTACATGTTGCCAATCGGATACCAATAACCACCAACCGCTAACTGAACCCACATGATCCTGGCACTCCTCAATGTAGTCCTTGCCCGCTGCCTTGGCCTCGTTACGACATGATACCCACGTCTGAATAAAGTTGAGTTCGGGAAAAAAACCCAAAGGGTAAGGGGCAACGGGGTAGGAAGGGTAAAGGTGGGAAGCAAAACCTACACAAAGCAAGTGGAAGCAGGGAACGTGCGTGAGCCGGGCTTGGGCTGGGCGAGGGGAAATGCACTGCTCGTGCGGGAATCCGCAGTGCTTTGCTTCGAGCGTGAAGTTAACACATACAAGCGGCATCCGCAATGAGGTCATGTTCCATATCAGTAGAATTCCTCGTCACACCTGATGTTGCACCTTGCACTCTCCAGCCTCTATGAACTGACAGATGGGACATCGCGACAGGTCCGCTTCTGAAGCCTCCTTGTCAGGGGTTTCTAATGATGAATCTGGATTTGACCCGGGTGCATCAGGTTCAGGATCGTCGGAATGCAGCGTCTTCCGGCCGGCGTCCGCGGCGGTGGTTGCCGATGATGATGACGACGACGGCGAAGGTTTCTCTTCAGGCATTCCGTCAGGACTATGTCGCGATCTATTATGAGCTACTATTGCTATAATAAGTTGCACGTGTTGACGTAGTGCTAGTCAATGCAAGGAGAGGGTGTGCGCAAGCTTACTAAAGATAGAGTCACATTGATGGTCGAGTTTCAAGTTCATACCACTTGCTTGGCAAATGCGCAGCTCATCACCAGCGTTCGCTGTAAACAACGGTAAGTCGTACCTGGCGCAACGAGCTGATGACACTGACCTTAAGCCTTACACATGTGTTCTGACGGAAGGTATTCATGTTCTTGTCGCTTGCACTCTTGCGAACAAGACTTTCAAGTTATGGGCAGCTTCCAAATTATGGGCAGCTTCCATGTGAAGTTCCGCAGGCCACATTCCTTTCCTTTCCTGATTTTATGCTCATGCCTGAATTTCGTGTTGCTCATAAACTCATAGGATGCAACCACAATCTTTAACTTATAAACGTTGCGCTTGGTGATTCAACTTCAGGGCGTCGGTTGATCCCCGTCGACGTGACGAGACGGCCGAATGCCTTCTCCAAGCGAGGCACCGGATAATCGCCGGCAGCTTCAATTGCTTCAGGTACGTACGTGACCGGGTCATGACAGCTTGGCTTTCTGACTGGCATAGGGCTTTACCATCCTCGATGGAAAGGCAGCTGTCAGCGCCTGCAGCTACAGCTAGAGCTAAAGCTACGACCTGCTACCGCTGCTACTGCCGTAGGAGGAGCTTCAGGTGCTGAAAAGCCGTTGGGGCCGGGCGCTGCACCTCCAACGCACCTACCCAACGGAAGCTCCTGCTACAGCGCCCTTTCCCATTGTGCTAAACTTTCAAATCGAGCCTTCACCCGCCGCAGCAGCCCACTACGACGTCTCCGACGTACGGATCCAAATTCGCTTAAGTCGCGCGGCTCTGCAGCTTCCTCTCTGGTCTTCTGTAGATGGTGGCAGTGGCGGTGACGGCGGCGTTATGACCCGTGGGACAGCTTCGGTCCCGTCACAAACGCTGCCCGCGGGAACCGAGCTGCGCATTCTTTCGGACGAGCTGCCACGCCGGCTCCGAAAACGCATGGAGCAAGAGCTCATCCGCGTCTGGTTGAGCGCCTTGGCGGTTCCGGAGCCGGTTCAACCTAACTCCGCCGCCGCCGCCGGGCCTGCTGCTGCTGCTGCTGCTGCTGCTGCTGCTGCTGCTGCTGCGCGGGATGGTGCTGGCGGCGCCGGTAACGGCAGCAGCGTACGGCCCTCCGGGCCATACGGGCTGACCGCCGCGGTGTCGTACATGCAGGAGCGCTTCGTATCACTGGTTTGCCTAGTTCCGGAGCTACTGGAGCCGTACCAGGTCGAGGACGAGCATGGTTCCACCGTACGGCGGTACGCAATCGTACACAATCACGACGAGGAGGAAGAAGCCGTCGTGGGTACGACCGATGCCGGCAGTGACGGGGTACCGAGCGCCGGCGTAACGCCTCGCGGCGGCGGCAGCGCCGACAGCGCTACTGCGGTCGGTACGGCAGATGGTAGACATGAAGGTGGCAAGGACTCCGCCGCGGCTTGTGTTGGTGGCGGCG